CAAGAAGGCTCCCGCAGAAGCCTGTGATCTGGCCGCATGATCCAGGAAGCATGAAGCCGGAACCAGGGCTATCTTACCGACTGGATACAACATCGACGAATGAGGTAATCACTGCAAGTCGAAAACCCGGTTTCTGAATCCAGCAGAGGGGGGTGCTCACCGAGGACCTACCCTAGAAAAGGACAGAAACACACAAGTCCCGGAAAACACTGCAAAGAACGCTCGCAGATGGAATACACACAACCACACACATATAGATATATATTAGAAATGGATTGTACTCACCCACCATGGTTCCCGTGCAGGAGCCCCATTCAAGAAGCGACCCGAAGAAGCCTCTAGTCCAGACCATCAGTAAGGTGGTTACTATGAAGCCATAGAACCAACCAAAGGAGGGAGTTTTAAGAGAGGATGTCTCACCCATAGAGAGATAGCTACCACAGGGGCATCTTCTCATAGCCGCTCTCACGCATCCCCTCGATGTTGGCATAACTCATATGCTGACCGATGGATGCGTAAGAAAAACGGCCTCTTCCATTCCTTCTCGATCTCTGTACGGAGATCAGGAAGAAAAGGAAGGCTCACCTGAGCTGGAGGTTTCTGGTCAGAAAGATAACGCTCATTGAACGCGACGTTACTTCCTTAGCCTTTCCTATGCCTTTCCTCACGCATTACTTTCCTATGCGTGAGAGCTTCCATGGCAAGTAAAGCCTCGCCGTGGCGCGATCCATAACCTCCAATAGCTCATCATACGCAAGGCAGGAGGATTGGGAAGGCTCAGCCTCAGCTTCTTCGCCCTCCTCAAACATCTCCTGTTCTTCCTGGGCTGAACCCAGCAGAGCACTGTCCCCTGGATCAGACGATGTTAGTGAAATAACATCATCCTCCAGCGGCTCACTCTCGTTCACAGTTGACGAACACGAGAGGGAAAACCCCCTCTTTAAACTCATCAGCCGGATCCGCCCGCAATCCCCACGAGCTCATTCTCCTCCGTGCCTCAGCAGCGGCAGATTCTCAACCGCGGGGAGCAGACGGCTGCTCCTCCTTCCTCGAAAAGAGAGACAAACGAAAGCGGAGCTTTTCCATTGAAAAAACGCTCGCAGTGACATCGAAGTTCGAGGACATCGCGTGCGTGCTCTTTGCCCAAACAACAGATGTGTGCTCCCGGCGCCTATTTATACTATAGTCGCACCGGTAGTGACGTCATGGGCTGTCGCCGGCCAACTTGTGTTGGTGTTTTTCAATGTATGCTTCAGACACGGGTCACGACGATGCGTTCCCCATAGCGACCCCTAGAGGACGCAGTTCGAAGTTCCCTTGAAAGGGAATCTCACTTTTTTTTTTTAAACAGTTCACAATGAAAACATTAACTCAATTGAACAGTTTTGAACATGACTGACTGACTAAATGACACTCACCACTGACTGTAACATGAAATATCTTGACTCTGCTGCTGTTGATGCTCAGCAAAGGGTTGATGCTGTTGCTGTTGCTTATCTCTAGTTTATAAACTCCAGAGTCTGTGGTTTTAATGTTTGTGATGCTGAGAGATCCAGTTTGATGATCCAGCTGCAGTATGTCACTGAATCTCTGAGGAGATTTCCAGGTTTCTGGACCTCCAGTGATATAAGCAAGGCGAATGCCATTAAAATACCACATCAATAAATAATTTCTGTCTATTATTACACCAGTATCTAACACAATAAATTTTCCTTGCTTCACTGAGTTCATCTTCACTTCATTTGTCTCTACAGCAGACACACCTGAAACACAAATGAAGTTAGTTATATGTAGGTTATTTATTTATTTATTTATTTTTTGTGGAAAAAAAATCAACAGGAGAAAATTTGGAGAAACAAAATTAACATATGACTATACTGTAATCTGTCTGAAAACTTGGTTCTGACTGACTGGAGTTATGGTTAAGTAAGGGATAATGTACATCCAGTGGGTTGTTATCACAGAATAAACCCCAATAGGGTGATCAGGACATTAATGCAATATAAGCCAAAAGGAGAGCCTTTGCTGTAAACAAAACTTGGTTCTCGTGAGACTAGCATATTTTTACCGGAGCTTACACTAAGCCTACGTCCTACATCATCTGCTGGAATGCCACTCTCTCATGAACGCATGTATGATAGTTAGCGGAAGATAGAGATTTATTAAGTTTATAAAGTTTTAAATATGGCTATTTTTCTTACACAAACACATCGATTCACTTCAGAAGGCCTTTATTAACCCCCCTGGAGCCATGTGGAGTACTTTTTATGATGGATGGACGCAGT